TGATCAGCATATTGTGCTACTTCACGGAATCAACATACCCCGGATTCGGATTCGTAAATATGTTGTTCAGTTGTTTACTTCTAATTTCTAGTTCTTTTTTCCATTTTTTAAATCTAATTATTACGTAGTATTATTGAGAGAGAGAACAAAAATTACTAAAACCAACAAACAGAGTGATGAGCTTCCACTTTATCGTGATCAGCTCCTTCAAAGAAAAGTAACGATTACGAGGTTCTGGAGGAGTTTCGAGGAAACGCTGGTACGCCCTGGACGCCTAAAGCAGAAAAAGCGGAGAGAAATCCGTCTAGAGAATGCAAAACGGGTCTCCTTGTTAAGTCGATGACATGGACGAATTGCTGCATGCGTTTGGTGGCATGCTTCACTTGTGTCGTGCTGCGAGCAGGGTCGGTCCTACGTTGCTACAAGTAGCAACGGGGGGTCGTCGTATTTTGATGAGTTTGTAGAGGGGGGGGGTCGTACTTGCTTCGATTGTGAGAAGTTGCATGAGGTGAGGGAGGAGTGGCGCGGGAGAAAATTTGCCGTTTCAGCGCGCGTATATACCCCCCCTAGAAAATGAAGCGTGGGATTAAGGTAGGGGGGGTAAATTGGTGGAAATTTAGGTAATTTTTTACGGTTTCAGAGTGACTATATACCCCCCCCGCTCGACGGCATTTTTGGAGGAAAAAGTGGGCGGAGTTTTCGTGGGTTCGAGTGATACCAGAATGAAATACTATAGCGAGGAATATGGTGGTCGAGGGTCGAGAAGGGGGTCGTACCAAATCCACCTTTGGGGAGGGGGGTCGTAAAAATTTTTCGAAAAGTAGCAACGATAGGACCGACCCTGCTTGCAACACAACGTCGTATAATGCGTAATAACTAAACTAAGGGCGTGACGGCTTTAGGCCGTAGGAATTTTCAGAACCACTGCTCACACCAGCATGGATGAAGTTACTCCTTGATCGTACTATACGGCCTACTTCAAAGTGACACAGGGTGGCCTCCAGCGAGAAGCTCATCGGATGATCTATCTCTTTGTCGTATTTTAGCATATCAGAGGAACGATTCACTAGTGAGACTTTCATAGAGACTGGGCACATATCCCTCCCAATAGGCCATGATAAAATTTGAAGAATTTTAGCAACTCTTTCGCTCCCCTTCACTGCTGGTGGGCTGCTTGCCGCGGTTGCGTTCGCGACTGCTATAGGGGACTGGTGAGGGAACAGACGGTTGTCATCTCTTTTGAGCCAAAATTCCACTCATTCATATACTTTTTGGCGCCCCTGCCTCAGCACAGCGTTGCTGAATGAGATTAGTGCCGTAGCGCAGCACTTTCTGGCCTTTCCAAATTTTTCTTCATTGGGTGAACATTCACTCTCATATACGGAACTATTCCTTTCAAGTATGTTACAGTTCGTGCACAAATTGTTCCCTCTACCGTTTCCTCGTTTGAGGATGGTACATAGGCGAGGCCCATTGACGTGAGCTGGTCGATGCTTTGTAATCTCGTTAGAATGCGCTGTGCGCTCGACCATCCGGAGTTGGCGAGGTAGTGAACGGTAGTATGTTTGGCTTATTTCCTATTCAGCTATCCAAGAAGAGCCCGTGATTGACGAAGGCAGTGCTCTAGTCTCTGGGGTGTAGCGCGGGACGGGTTGTACATATCCCTTCAAAAGCACTGATCGGAATCGAGTTGTGTTATTTTGCTCTAAAATTTGACAGGAGCGCGATGAGGGAGTGGTGCAGGGGCAGAAAAGCCAAAAAGCGCTCTCGGAAAACATCCTAATTCCCCTTGTGACGTCGGCCGTGGGGTGGCGGAGAGACACAGCGCTACGAGGCGAGGAGAAACGCGAGAGAGCGGGAGGGCGCAGACGCCACACAACACACATGCTATTATAAGGATGGCAGCTCTTGCAATGTGCAGCGCCCTAGCACCCTTGCCGCCACTTTACAAGTCGGCACAGTGCCCCGAAGCCCTGGGTTCGCGGGCCCTCCTTCTCACTCACTGAGAGACGAGTTCTTCGCACTTAATCCCGACCCGCGGATTTAAGAGGGGCACTGAAGAAGACCTGGCAAGATATCGCCCCATCACGCTTCTGCCAGTGTTCTACGAAGTGTTCCGTTGCATAGCTTTCATATCTTTGAAGCAAATTCAGCGACAATGGCACAATCACTTCTGCGAATGAGATGACTGCAAACGCAGTGGCAGTACCACGTTAGCGACTTTAATCGTGTGTCGGAGCGATGGAAGTTTATGCATCGTTCATGTCTGAGCTTGTCCTCATTTTCTGAGCTTTTCCTCGATTCCGTGTGCCGAGGAAAAGCTCAAGAAACCTTTCGTAGACTGTCTGACTCGTAGATTAGTCCAGCGCCCAAGAAATAATTCTAAGATCCGATTGAATTTTCTTTTTTTTTCTCACTGGCTCCCACTTCGCTGATCTACGCATTTCCGAGGGCAATAGCCATCTATACGATCGTAGAATGTGCCAGTAATTAATTGTTGTCCCTTTATGTTTTCTGCCCAGTGCTCCTTTGTAAAGGTCACGGCAATATCTCAGTGGGCTCCAGAAGCATCCTAGTGGGCTCTAGAATCTCAAAATCTATTATTCGTCGAAACTCTTCTAAAAGAGGTAACTGCCCTACCACGAATATGATATTCATTTTTTACAATTTGGCGCCAGTTGGTGCCACGTTGTCACTAGAAACAAAACAGCCTGGGTTTTCACTTAATTCGGTATGTGCAAAACTTTTGTTGTGGAGTCAAAGGCGCCGTGATTCGGATATAGCATAATCAGTTGTTGGAATTTACTTCCACCACGGATCTCTTTCACTGAGGGTCCTCTCTCACTGAAAGATCTCGAGCCGGTTGGTGGCGAGGCTACGTGGCGCGACCCCAGGTGGCGGATAGGGGGTAAATCGCGGACCAAAAGCCACCATGTACTTGCCCTGAGACGCAGGTGGATTCAGGGGATGGACTCCCTGTTTCTGTAGTGCTGTGTTGATTCATACCAGCTGTCTCCACTCAGGCGCATCCATGCATGCTTGCGTGTGTGGTGCGCTCTGTGTGTGTGCGGTTGGTATCCTGCATGTCGGCACAGCCAAAAGCTTGCATTCAAGTGACTGGGAAGTACATGGGAGGCGATTCGGGGCCGCCTCCAAAAAATAAGCCCCTTGTTCCGCTCCAGGATAGCGTGGCTAACTACCTGGAGGTCTATCCTAGCCCACACGACAGAGCCTGGCAAGCTACTCGTGTGCCTTCAATATGCCGAAAACAGCAATATGGATGGGCCTCATTCCCCTGAACCTGAGGGAGCCCCCAATACGGCAGCGTTGGGTAGGACCGCTCGGGAGAGGCTGCTAGAATCTCAGGGCCCGGATAGGCTGCCTAAACGAAGAAGGACTAAGATGGCGATCTGTACTTTCAACGCACGAACGCTTGCATCCGAAGCTCACATCGAAGATCTGATGATGCAAGGCCAGGAAGATCAAGTACGACGTCATCGGACTGACCGAGACGAGAAGGCACCGCCCGCTACACGCCGTTTTCGATACTGGAGAAGAACTGTTCCTTGGAACATGCGACAGCAGAGGCGTTGGCGGTGTGGGTGTCCTCGTCAACACGCACTTGGCCATAAACATCGATTCGTACGAAAGCCTTACGACCCGAATCGGACGTTTGAGATTGAGAAGATGTGGATTCAACTCCTGCTTTGACAATCTTCGTCGCCTACGCACCAACATCGAGCTACGACGAGGAGGAACACGAAGCATTTTATATGGAATTGGAGAAGTTCTACAAGGAAGATCATACCTTCTTCAAGGTCATCGTCGGCGACTTCAACGCCAAGATTGGCCCGAGAAGAACGGCTGAAGAACTTCACATCGGTACTCACGGAATGGATTGGAATGAGCAGGGCGAAAGACTGTCTGAGTTTATCATGTCGACCAATACCATCCATGGTAACTCGCAGTTCCAGAAGCCCTCTCACCTTCGCTTGGACTTGGGAGTCACCTGATGGACAGTTCCATAACGAGATAGACCACATCATCTTCAATCGAAGGTTTTGCCTGACCGAC